TGAACCGAAAGCTTCCTTTGCATGCTGATTTTTGAATTGAAGATGAGGAAAAAAAAACTTGGACGAAAGACAGGAGAGAGTTTTATTTGGAACAGTTTGAGTTATAGCAGTGCTTGAGATTTCAATGGGAGACACACACAAAAAAAAATCGCCTTCACCTTTGACAAAACATTTCTTTGTTTTAAAGGGTTGATAACATTGTAATACACCACGAAGAGATTGATCGGTTACATTTTCTGGATGAACTTCAGAGGAAATATCTTTTTTTACAATGAACCTAATCTTCTCCAAACTTTTGACTGCGCATTTTTTTATTTTGTTGCCGTTCTCGAACAAGATGCTACAGAGACGACAGCGAGCCTGGAAGAGGCACAGAAAGGCATAGAAGCGAGTCCTAGGAAATGTACGGACGATTTCTGGACACCTGTTGTGACTTTTGAAATGCAGCTGGATGCTTGCACTCATTAAAATGGAATCCCTCGAAGAAACTCTTTCCCGCTGCTAAAATTAGTTCACTGGAAAACGGATAAAAAGCAGCGGTCCATTTCTGATGTATGTGCTCGGTTGTCAGTTTTTTGCCGGCCCAACACCTCGCAGAACGACAACATTTCTTTTACCCTTGGCTTTTCTGGAGGTTTATGCACTCCAAGTGGGCCATCTCTCCGCACATTTGTGCAAAAACACCCTCGGACTTTCCTCGGCTGTCTTTTGACTGTCAAAATGACGCAAATAGCACAGAGGGGGTTTCGGGAGAATGGGAAACATTAGAGGAAAAAAAAAACACTGGCAAACGTCGATGTGTAGATTAAAGCATGGGTCAGGCTTTGTATATTTTGACAAAAAAAAACTTTTCTGGACAGTCTCGTTCTATCTCAAGAGATATTACAGGACGTTTGGCTAAAGTCTGATGATTGCGATTGCACCTTCATTGTGATGGATTATGTTTTTGCGCTATATGGACAACATTTTTTTTTCAGCCCAACCCACTTCCTTGACCAACTTTTGAATTAAACATTGGTCAGGCTTGACTTTCTTCAACCCCCCCCCCCCACCCCCCTTCACGCTCTCCGCAATAAATTCCTCCTCTGACATTCCTCCGCAGTTGTCAGACTGCTACATGCTATTGCGCACCATTTAGTTCTGTCCCCAGTGACTTGTTCCCTGGCTCGTGTGTTGCCATTAGCGGGGAACACCTTCAACGGCCCAGAGATCACCCCCCCCCAAAAAAATGTTTTAAAGGGTTGATAACATTGTAATACACCACGAAGAGATTGATCGGGTACATTTTCTGGATGAACCTCAGAGGAAATATCATTTTTTTAAGGTGACCCTAATCTTCTACAACCTCTTGACTACACATTTTTTTATTTTGTTGCCGTTCTCGAACAAGATGCTACAGAGACGACAGCGAGCCTGGAAGAGGCAAAGAAAGGCATCGAAGCGGACGATTTCTGGACACCTGTTGTGACTTTTGAAATGCAGCTGCATGCTTGCACTCATTAAAATGGAATCCCTCGAAGAAACTCTTTCCCGCTGCTAAAATTAGTTCACTGGAAAACGGATAAAAAGCAGCGGTCCATTTCTGATGTATGTGCTCGGTTGTCAGTTTTTTGCCGGCCCAACACCTCGCAGAACGACAACATTTCTTTTACCCTTGGCTTTTCTGGAGGTTTATGCACTCCAAGTGGGCCATCTCTCCGCACATTTGTGCAAAAACACCCTCGGACTTTCCTCGGCTGTCTTTTGACTGTCAAAATGACGCAAATAGTACAGAGGGGGTTTCGGGAGAATGGGAAACATTAGAGGAAAAAAAAAACACTGGCAAACGTCGATGTGTAGATTAAAGCATGGGTCAGGCTTTGTATATTTTGACAAAAAAAAAACTTTTCTGGACAGTCTCGTTCTATCTCAAGAGATATTACAGGACGTTTGGCTAAAGTCTGATGATTGCGATTGTTCAAATCGACACCACCTTGTTAGAAAGCCCTTTCAGTTCTATGCCTCCAGGTCCATTTTGCCATGTTGGGTGATTTTAGTGCGGAAGAACCTGGCAGATCTTGTCAAAAGTCTTCCCGGAGGAGCGGAACTTGTTTCATTCGACTTCCGCGTTCCGTTCCCGGAGGACGGTTTTCTCGGCTGCTGCGACAGGCAGCCCTAATTTTCCTTGCTGCAGATGAGTGATTGATGCAGCGAGAGACACGCAGTCTTCGTGCGGGGACATTTTATACGGCAGCATCGATCCCGACTTTGCTGACGGGCCCCGATCGCGAGCCAGCATTCATCGCCGACCACGGCAGCGAAAACCACAGAGCATGTAGAAATGAAGAAGGATCTTCTGCTTCGGGGTCCACGTTTTCATGTTGGTGCGTTTTATTATCCCGCCACGCAAACCAGACCTTTGACGCCACGTCGTGTTTCGTGTCATTCAGTGACGAGCGTATTGTTTAGCGTTCGTCTCGTTTCGGTTGTCATACTTTCGAATGGACACGATGGAGCCGAACGATCCCCTCAACCCGCTGATGTTATCGTTTTCTGCGTCGTGTTTGAAGTCGGACGGGTTTGCATTGGATCGGGGCCGCTTGTCTCAATGGCATCGTTGTGATCTCAGAGGGCGCCTGCAGATCGTCAGCGCCGTGATGAAATGACGCTGCCGCGTTCTGCTGAGGGTCGGGCTGCGCGTCTGGCAATGGAGAAGAGGCTGTTCCTCTGACACGTCGTTTGGAGCGTTTTGGGGGGATCCGGGCACATTGTGCAATGAATCCATCTTTCGTCTGCTTGAACATTGAGGACATAGTGTAGAAATAACCAACAACTGATGGGGTTGTTTTTTGGGGTTTTTTCATGACCCCTGAAGCCTAATTCCACTGTTGCGGCGCCTCGAAGCGCTTGTGTGGATGTGTACTTTTAAGCTCTGTGTGCAGGCCAAAAGCCCCAAGAAAGCAATGACTGTGTCTCCCTCACATCATGCGGCTCCTTCTTCCTCCCAAAAACATGAACACCCCTTTGTCCAACCGTTCAAAAGGAAGGAAGGAAACCCAGTGAAGGAATTCAGCCACCAGAAAAATGTGAATAAAATCAGGCAAGACCCCCGATTCTTTGCGGATGATCATCATCAGCCAGTGAATTTATCGCGACAGTTTTCGAGGACTCTTTGTCGTGCTCGTGCAATGTTGAGTCTTCCGCAGGATTTAAGGCAACGGTTTCTTGTCTATGCCTCAAAATTGCGCAGCCTCTGCGCCTGCTACGAATAATACTTCAGTGCAGCAGCGGTCCGGATGATTCCATGCTGATGTTTGCCACTTGGCAGGGAAGCGTGACACTCTGCCGCAACTCTTCCCAACTTTTTTTTTTTCCAACTTAATGGTTCAAGCTGACGTTATTTCAGCCAAATGCCAATAGAAAACTCACACTGTGACAAAAAAAAAAAAAAAAAAAGGTTGTCTGGTTACCTAATTAAGTATGCAGCGTGTTCAAGGACATCTCGATGGAAAACTCATCTTGCAGTGATCGCATGCCTTGTTTACAAATGGGGGAGAAAAAAAAACGTAATATGACAGAAATGAATACTACAAGCAGAAATGGTGCTACTGCAGCTTACTTCTGAACACATTCGGAAGCGGTGGGGCGTAGATTCCCCCCCTCCATCATTCCCAAATGACCTCAAGTTCAAATCCAGCCGGCCAAAAGACCACAACTCCTCCTCGCCTTTGTCGGCGAGGAGCAAAGCCATTCCGCCGGGATCCAGCGGACGGCCGCCTCCCGCAGCCGCTGGAGGTCCGCCTTCAGCTCTCCGAAGGCCACGGCGACGTCTCCGTTAACGATCACCTTGTCAAACATGTGACCGTGCTGGGCTTCCGTGGTTTCGGCCGAGTCAATCATATCTTCAAAATCTTCCTCCTGCGGAAAGAAAACAGTCGACTGTTTATTTTGGCCGGGAGGATGATCGATTTGGTTATCGCGAAGTCAATTTATGGCCGCACAGAGTGAGTGCCGGTGATGGAATACTAATGGTGCCAAAAATACGTTGCGGCTTGGCTTCAAGGTGACCAAACATCCTCTGTGAAGTTGTTTTAGAAAACACACACCCACGGTGCAATCCCGTGTACCAAGTTGTCGACGATCCACATCCAGTCGCCATACATTGATACCACATCTGTCTTAAAATTTCAGCGAGCCACACAAATGTCGCCCGAGGTGCTTGCGTTTTGACACGGGTGAGCCCCACCGACTGGGACGTGGCACATGCAGAGAGTTGAGAGTCAGAGACAGTTTCGCAGCAGCGATTCAGTCATCATTTTTAACGAGGCCAAGACGCGGTCAAACAGTGAAAGAGACCCACCCACTTTTGCGGGAAGGAAATGCTGTTTGCTAAAATTCCAACAAAATCCAAAAAGAAAGAAAGAAAGAAAAAAAAAACCTCAGACTTCATGCCAAAGAGTCTTATGACCCCCCCCTCCCCCACCCCTTGTCTCTTAAATGTCTATCACGTGCAAGGCGTGTCATGTTTTGTGACCTCCGATCGCCCTCGCGTGCCCGAGAAGAGCACCTGACTGCATAGAACAACCGATGTATCGGGTATTTTTCTTACTGAGAACATCCTGACTTGATTTGGGTCCTCTTCGTCACAGATGAATTTCGCTCTTCTCCTGGTGAGGCGCAACTCCTCGATACGCGGGGGTTTCACAAAAACCACGTAGGGTTTGAATTCGAGTGTGTAGACACGCTTCAGTTTCTGGTGTGGGGGCGAAAAAGAGCAAATATAGGGTAGCCTATGGTGGTTCTTGTAAAAAAACAACAAATGAAGCATAGTAAACAATTCTAAAAATAACCACGTGGTCAGTTGCAATGCTGAAAATCATGTCTCAAATAGACAATGGAATTTCCAAAGTCGAATGTTGCTAAGGGACCTACGTAGCATATCTCATGAAATTTTGCAATTCAAACCATAAATGTCACGGAGAACATTTCAGTCAGCACGGAGTCGGCTGCTTGTGGCTTTTGATGAGACAGCGTTTTGCTGCATGCTCACAATTTGAAGCTCGCAACTCGTGGACTCATATGTCGCCAAAACACTCACTTATTTGCTGTTTTTTTTTTTTTTTACTCATGCCAAAAGCAATATAAATATTGCCCTCTTGATACCAAGGAACAGTGTTGAAGTGAGTTGAGGAACTTCATTTCGACAACAGCTGCCATCTTGGTGCGAGGGACCTATGCCGCAGTCAGTTGAGGGGCTTCATTAAGACCAAATGAATGGTTTGCCGACTTCTTGTGCCATTTGTAGGCAAAAGGGTGCCCGTAATGTGGTGCGCCGGTGCGCCTTGAGCATTGGAAATGCTCCAGTTCGAATCCACCATTGCACTTTTTGCGCGCTCAGAATATTTCAGGCCAGCCTCAATTCAAAGTCATGTCGATGTACAGTATTACTTTTATGCTTTTATTTTGAAGTTGACCCTCAGTTGTTGCGCTTAGTAAATGTCGCTCCGAGTTTTTTTCTGTGTAAAATTTACTCTCAAATTTGATTCTGTTTAGGCTGGTAGAAGACACACCAATAAAAGGCACATTTTATCCCAACTTTAAACATCATAAAAAGGAATAATTCTGCAGACAGAATCTGGCGTCTCAATGTTCTTTTTTTTTTCCACCACGATTTACTCTTCTTGAGTTCAAGTATACACGTCATGGCAGACCTTATCCGATACTTACACAAGGATGTACATCCAGTAGGCACACTTTGCCCTCAGCCATCACCCGGTAAACCGAGTTCAGACTCGTTCCATAGTAGTGGCCTCGGTACGTCCCGTAGTCTATAAACCTAAAGGCAGACGTTCACGGGGGCAGACAAAGACATAAAAGTCAGAAAGGAAAAAAAAAAAAAAAGAATAATGGTCTTTCCTTTCAAAACACAGATGAATAATAGTATGGAATGACCAACACACATGTCAGACTGCAATTTCATGTACCTGCGGTTGAGAATGTCCTCTTCGAATTTGTGGACGGATACAAAATGATAATCCATCCCTTCGGTCTCTTGGCTTCTCTTCTCACGTGTGGTGTCTGGAAGGGAAGATGTTGGCAAGCGGATGACAACAGTCCGAATAATAAAAGAGGCTCAACAGAGGGAAAAATGGAGCGGATTGCCTTTTTGGCCTTACATGGTATGCTTGTACCGTAGAGGTCAGGATCGGAGAGCAGGAGCCTCCTCTTCAGTTCATTAATGCCAACACCGCTGGGTCCTCAACACAAAGAGCAGAAGTCCGTGCTGTTTTGTTTTGTTTTTATTTTGGTCGCGCCACATTTCGGCATCTATGTGCTGTCACGTCAACGGAATCCACATTACTTCAGAATCTACTGGCTATTTTAATTTAAATTAAATTAGCGTCTGAACTGTTTTGCGAACTAACAATATTTCAACTTCATCCTCACGGGGCCCGAGAGCTGCCTTTAAATGGCATATGCATTTTTTTTTTTCCCGTCCTCTCATTAGTTGGTCGGCGCAAAACTTGCTACAGCCAACATCGACTCGCAGAACACATTTGAGCAATCGGCGCACGTGACCGCATTGAATAATGTTACGCCATTCGGTTTCTTTTTATGCCATTTATCCGCATTCGGGGCGACAGGTGAGCTGAAGCCTATCCCAGCTGACGGCGGCAGGTGGACTACACCCGGAACTGGTTGCCAGTCAATCGCAAAGGACATAACAAGCATTCGCGCTCACATTTAGGACGACTCGGCGACCCTAACATGAATGTTTTTACACAGCTCTCACTGCTGTGATGCTGTCCAAAATGGCAGCATCGCCGTTGGGAAATTCCTTTTTTGACTTGAATTTACATGATAGATAAATAAAAAGACTTCATTTTGCCCCGGCAGCGGCAGCAGCAGCAAAAATGACTCCGCGTGTGCCAGTGAGCGCTGACGATTTCTTCAACAATAAATCCAGCATCGCATCGGTTTGGTGCATCTGCGTTTGCCATCAGAATAAAAGAAAAAGTGAGCAGAGCAGTCAGACAGACAGAGCTCTCATTTCATGCTGTTTTTAGTCTGAGAACCATTCTCCAACCGGACTTTTTTTTTGGGGGGGGGGCTCTGCCTGTGCCACGATTAATGCCCCTGTACCCTCTGGAAAATCCATAGCGTCTGTAACATCTGCTAAGTTACACCGTATCAATGTCATTACTGTGTAGGATGTACAGGATGAACACAGGCGCAGGCACACACACACACACACACACACACACACACACACACACACACACACACACACACACACACACACACACACACACACACACACGCACACACAAAAAAAAACGAAGCATCAGCGCGGTGCATAGAAAGGACACAAGTCTTGTCCAGGTCACACTTTGTCATTTCACTCTATAACAGCAACTGTCTGTCACCTTTCTCCATCGCACCTCTTCTCCACTTCCATTTCCCCTGACAAGCACATGCCAGACAAAACATTAGGTACGCCTCCGAAATTCAATACAAGAGCTTTATTGTAAGATTATAATGCAGAAACTTTGATTTGAACCTGTCAGATGTATTGATTGATTTGTTTTATGGTTGGCATCGTGCACGGATGTCAAACGGAAGGCCCTCCAGATTAGCCCCTCCGTGTCATTTTATGGGGTTCGTGAAGGCTTGCAAACATTTTTCAAAACTACCGGTAGCCATAAAAATGAAGATAGTTGGCACTTAGATATTTAGTGACTTCCCCAACCCTTTAGCTTTTTTTTTCCAACAAGTGACAAGCTGTATATTCGTTTTATCGGCGCATCCTCTGAATCCAAATAAAGCACGCAAACCCTTCCACCTTTTCGTACATTACATTTGAAAAAGTTATTTATTGGTAGAGCGCCAGCGCTGTTACCTTTCGGAACCTTATTTCACGCTTTTTATGATGAGGATTCCATTGTAATTCTCGCTTGTAAAGGTGACATTGGCAAAAGTCCCTTGAACTGGGCTTCTTCTCATGTTTGGTTATTTGGACATGAACACTTCCATTAGTCTTAATATGATTTTTTTTTAAATACAATAAATAGTATCAAGGATTCAAACCTTCATAAATGCAACCTCATTTTTCTGCTCATTCCGATGTGGAGAATTCTCCTTAATGGTAATCCAATGATGTTCATGTCTCTTCACCGCACACGAGCCTGGCTGGCATGCATTCATTAAGTATGCTCCTCACTTCACGTAACACATTAAAATGGCACACTCTGATCTCTGAGAAGGGTTAACATTTAAAAGATGAGCTCGAAAGATGATGTGCGCAGAAGTGGAACACACACACACACACACACACACACACACACACACACATGCACGCAGGAGCATCTGGGATTTTCCTCTCAAGCAGGTTTCTGCCGTCCCGAGATTGCATCAGACTCTTTTGGAGTGCATATGAAAATGCGGATTCCTGAAATAGCTGCCTTTTCCATCCCAGTGTCGAACGGGCTGAGCGCATTACAAAATCGAAAGTTTTTAGGACTCTCCGCCCTCACGCCGCTGATGGCTTTCTCAGCGGCGCTGCGGAACCAGAGACGCGAGCCACAATCGGGACGTGTGGAGACTGTCAACTGACCTTTTCGCTTAAGAGACATGACGTTTAACACCAGAAGTCGTTTTGACCATCCAATGCGGGGCAGAACGGATGATTGTTTTGTTCGATGGCTTTTCAACCTGCGAAAAGATTCCCTGGCTGCTTCCTGCGTGAAGTCTCCGGGTTCAGGGTTTTCCCGTCCATTACTTTCAATGCCAAAAGGCTTTTTTAATGATGACCTCTGGCCCTCGCCGCAGACAGTGAAACCCAGTCCAGAATGCGGGTAAACTCCAACCCAATTAAAAGAGATTCAAATCCAAGCTGCTTTCGGTCTTCCAGTGAGTCGGAGCACTTGGCTGACATTTTGAGGGGTTTTATTCCCAATCAATTCATTGGCCTCTGTCCGTTCATCGCTCACGTTTCTGGCTTCCTGTCTCGATGGGTTCGGCTTCCTTCTTCTCCTGCCATCTCTTCGCGCTCGGTGTAGGTTGCCTTGTTTAGCGAGCGGTTGCCTACAGTTGGGCCATAACGTTAGGTGAAAAAGACCTTCGGCGGAGCTCAACGTAAACTCTCAAGGGAACAAAAGTACATAAAGCAGGCCTGCAAGGATTGGCAGAGAAGCGAATCAGGGGTGGGCCGGCGCACAACTTAATACAAACTATTCCGACGTGACGTTTTTCTGACAGTGTTTATACGGTTCTGATGGGAAAGGATCACTCTTGCATTCATAAGTAGGAACATAAATCTTCATCAATGCCTTATTTTCTCCCCTTTGATCAATTTCAGCTTCGATAACTGCGGACTTTGCGGTAAATGAAATGCGGGGCGGGCGAGGGGTGGGGGGGTGGCAGGACCCCAAAAGGAGCACAGTTGAGCGGATGGCTAATTCTATACAAATTGAATGTTTCGTCGGGATGAAAAACAAAACATTCCTGATGGGAGTCGTAAGCATAGACCAGTCCTACTTACCAACCAAGACAACCAGACGGTGTCTTTCTTCAGAATCTTGACGGTAAGGGATGACCTCGATGTAGGTCGGTGGACAAATAGACTCCTGAACTCCTGAGCTCCACCTTTTGGAACGTGCTGCTTCTTTGACCCAGTTGCTCTTTTTGCCCAGCCGGAAACTCTTTCTTAAACCAGCTGGGATGGTGAGAGAGAGAGAGAGAGAGGGAAAGAGAGGCTTCAAGCTTTGTCAATCAACTCGTGAGCACTATCTATTCATCCATCCATTTTCTGATCCGCTTCTCCTCACGAGGGTCGCGGTTTGGGGGGGGGGGGGTGCTGGAGCCTATCCCAGCCGTCTTCGGGACACCCTGAACCGGTTGCCAGCCAATCGAAGGGCGCACACAGACGAACGAGCATTCGTGCTCACAATCGCATTGAGGGACAATTTCCAGTGTTCCGTTAACCTGCCGTGCATGTTTTTGGAATGTGGGAGGAAACCGGAATACCCGGAGAAAACCCACACAGGCACAGGGAGAACATGCCAACTCCGCACAGGAAGGCCGGAGCCGGAATTGAAGCCCGCACCGTTGCACTGTGAGGTGGACACGGTGACCAGGCGAGCACCATGGCCTGGTGAGTACTAGCGTAGGTCAATTATGTCATAGAAGGACTCATCTATCTATCCATCCATATCCACACTTTGTTTATTTGTTTAATTCCACACCAATGGGCAACGCGTGCATCTTTTTTGGGATGTGGAAGGCTGAAGCTGATGTCCAATTATCCCTCACTATAACACGGTTCACCTTTCACGGCTTTCCTGTTTCACAGAATTTTTTCCGTGTAGCCCCCCCAGTGCATTGTGTTCTGCGTCCTGACTGGCTAAGGGAATGTCGATTAGAGCATGAGCTCTAAATGAGAACTCTCCACGCTCACGCACCTCTCGGTCTGTATTTAATTTCCATTATTTCATTATTGGAGGCGATTCCAAGTGAACGGGGAGGCCTTGGAAATGGAGGTAGTCTGCATATGACGGCGGTAATTCCCCTTAAATGAAAGATTAAATCGACTCATTAATCACGCTGCTTGTTTGACTTCAAATCCACTGTGGCACAATCGCCAACACTTTTATTTGGCCAATCATTTTGGACCGAGCTAACTTTGATGAATGTTTGAGGTGGCTCCAACTTTTAAACAAATGTGACCTCAAGACCCCTTTTAAAAGATGTTACGAACAATGCCTTGTAAACCATTCCCGCCCAAAATCTGTTGCCAATCGGCATTTTCCGTCAACAGTCATTGACACGGAAAAAAAAAAAGTGAATATTGGACAAGAGGGGGACTCAGGCCCCCCCGGAATAAAAGAATAAAAGTGTGCCCGTGGTGATTTGTATGCAGCCTGACAGCCAACGTCTGCCATGCGCCTGCGGTCTGGCCTGTTTTTGTCCGCACGCTCCCTTTCATGACGTTAAGTACTGCGCGGCGGTGATGCGAGCCGGGGTTACTCTGACATGGGCTGTAATTTGACTTTGTAAGCATATCTGTCTGTTTCCTCTCCTTACACCGTGACAAGCGTTTGGTTACATGGCACGCGAGTTCAAGATCCGACAAAGTGACCCCCGTTGCTCAGAGTCAAGGCAAGTTCCAGAAGGAAAACATCTTGTCATTGTCACTGCGGCACTGCAATTGCCCTCCGTGACTGAGATGCTGTCGACCGGAAACATTTTTCTGTTTTTATTTTAGTAACTGCCATTGTGTCTATTTTGCAGGATGAAAGAGACTGTAGATTTCAGATCCACACAAGAAGTCACTGGATAGGTCTGACGACCGGGAAAATTCTCGGCTTGTTTATCTTAACCAGAAACAGTTACGGGGAGCCGGGAATTCCACGATGTGCACAGCAAAATAAGAAGTAATCCGGCACATAGGATAAACTCTTCTAAAAACTAGAGAATATCCTATCGGGCATCATCCAGTTGTTTGTCATGTCCAAACTTTTGACTAATCCGCTATGCGTATGCACTATAAAAGCCCAAAACAAAGCGATAACCCGGTCACCCTGAATTAAACGGTCCACTGCTTCTCTGAGGAGGCGGAATCACTTGATAACATTTTAAGAACGCCAAATTCCATTTTTTTTCATTCTTCAGAGGCTTTCTTAAAATAGGGGGAAGGGTGGAGAGCAATTTCAGGGACAGATGCAAAATGACCAGTTCAACAATCTGCACGGTCAAAATGATCTGTCATGATCAAGTCATTTATCGTTGACGGTAAAACGAGGTACCGTGTTTTCCGGCTCTATAAGGCGGAAAATACGGTATACGAAGTATAAGGCGCACCTTCAATGAATGGCCTAATTTAAAGCTGTTTTCGTATATAGGGCGCACCGCATTATAAGTTAAGCATCCACTAGATGGAGCTAAGCTAAGGGGAACACAATACAATGCAGCTTTATTTATATTGTGCTTTCTCAACCGCTGAAGCTGTCTCAGAGTGCTTTACAGATCATTTAAAAAACTACATCCAAGAAATCAGAATATTGATCCATATATAAGGCGCATCAGATTATAAGGCGCACTGTCAGTTTTTGAGAAAATTTAATGCTTTTAGGTGCGCCTTATAGTGCGGAAAATACGGTACTTGTATTGAATCATTTCACCACTCATTACGCGCACTGAATGAGCACAGCAGTGACAAAATCAAGGACATCCTGAGTCCTTTCTGCCCTCTTACCACCCTGATCCAAAATAATGCAGCCTCTTGGACCCACCCGGCCTGAGACGCGATCGAATAAGTGCGCGCTGCTATTTGCACGTCGTTATCATGCAACCTGCAAGGTCCTGGCTGGATGAGATATTTTACAGTCAGGAATGGCTCCAGTCGCTCATGTGAATCGACTTTCTTCGCTCACGTGCACGCATGACAATCGGCACAAACATCATCTGCAATCCATGAGCTGGAGACAGATGGGGAAACTGGTGGGCTCCAACCACATTTGCTGTTCTGGTCCTTTCCCTTAAATCGTTAAAGCCATAAAATGCTTCATCAGATGAAGCGGCCTCATATATCTGTTTTTCTTGGTGACCGTACTTGTGACTTGTCATGTCCAATTGCCCCAACTTGTATTGTGCTCTGTTGCGCAAGTCCTCTTTCCAATATCATCGGGATTTATGTGGAACAAGTCAAACATCTTACCAATGTGGATTCCAGTTATAGCTCCATAGTCAACATCCTCGTCAATTGGAAAAACTAGAGTGGGGGAAATCACGAACATCAACCTCTGAAATTTCACACTCAAAGTATTAGCACATGTTCAAACTCAAGTCGACAACTATTTTGCTTTGGAAATTCTAATTATGGTTGGATTGAGAAACGCTATCCAAAATTTAGGAACATTAATAACGACATTACTCTTCGAAAGTGGTTGAAACATTCCACAGAATCATCCACATGTTGGGGGAGAAAAATGGAGTGGCAACATTGCAAGATGACTTGTTTTGGAAATTAAATCCCAAAGAAAGTCAAACAGTGTGATCTCAAAATGGACATGTACAGCAGAACCCCAAAAGCCGATCGCTCCGTACAATTTGGAATACAAGCAAAATGTTCGTTGCCCCAAACGTGAAACCAAATGGCAAATCCCTTCTCACGCTTCTACTGGAAAAAAACAAAAAACACTTGACTACCAAGAGCTGAAAACAAAGTCCATCTGAATATTCTACCTGCTCAAACCACATCCAAGTAAAGGTGCACTACCGCCATGTCGAGTTGTATGTAACTATGGCGCCACATTTAAAGGGAAGGAGAGGGGCTGCTTTGATTGGCCAAGATTAAAGTTAGCTGTGACCACTCCTACAACAGCGCAGCCCCCCTTATTACCTGGATAGCCCTTCCTTTATTCATCTGTAAAATTACCAATACCCGGTTGAACCGACCTTCCCGCAGAGTTACGCTGGATTTATGCTGGTCATGAATACGAAGCCCTCAATGTTTTCTTTTCCTAACCAACAGCCGCACATCCGGTGCACTTTTTTAGGTCCAGCAATGCCTAGAAAGCATCAGGTGAGAGTTGCACTCTTCAAACACCTTCCTGTTGGCTATAATTTGCATGTCTTTGCTGTGTCTTCGAAGGAAGTCGACCAGCATCACGTCGTGGATTGTTTTGACTTTGGAGGTTCTATTGTATTTTAGATTCCCAATTGTTGTTGCAGGTCAATATACGTGTAAACTGCAAGTACCTTTGCCCTCATCTGCAGCGCATGTGGAGGAAAGAACAACAGTGAGTACAACAGAACAGGTGTTTTTCTGACCTGAACTTTCCCCCCCACCACACACGTCGAGCGTTCGTATTTAGCTTATGGGCTGGAATTGAAATGTGTTTTGCTCGTTTTACCGGTGATGTGGAAAGAAAATGTTCGCCGATCACCTGCTGCCTTGACTTGTTGTCGTTGGAACAAGGTTTGGGGTCGCTGTAGCGCAACTCTCCTGAAGATTGTTCATTGCAATTGGTGCCGGTTCAAATGTTGGTCAAGCAAAAACGGTTGCACCAACGAGCAAAAGATGGAAAACATCACCTCTCCTGGAGCTGCTGCGAGGGGATAAGCCCTGCTCGTGCGTTACTACCGCTGACATGGCACGCTTGCCACCAGGTGTCATCCTCCGTGGTGACGATCTGGAGGATGTCGCCTCTTTTAAAAGCGATGGCCGCATCCTTGCACGGCACGGCCGGATCCTCACTCGGGCTGTAGTCAAAGAGAGCCCTGACAAACAGCTAGGAAAAGAAATTTCTTTTTTTAAAACGACGACGCTGACAAATCTCACAATATCTATCTTCAGACGTATTTGTTTCCCGACTTGGAAAACGATCACAGCGTCGTCATCCGACGCATAAGTTAGCATGGCTCTGAGAAATGACCGTCGGCACCGACGATCATTTGTCTTCGTCCCTTGCAATAGAGTCACTTGAGAGTTTCCACGAACTGTCGAAATCATATGCATAAACGCTCTGGTGGTCTTGGGTCGAGGCTGTCACGATGCGGCGGCGGCAAACACATGACATGACACTTTTCGTAATCTCCTTTTACTGTAACCAGATGGGCAGTTGCGCGCATAAAAAAACCCACAATGCGGGGCTCATGTCAAAAGGAAGACCACAAGGGAAGATGTCATTTATTGTACCTTCTTGGCGGATAACTCTTCTTGCTCGGAGAAGGCAGGAACAATGGTGAATGTCACGTCACCCCGAGAGCGTGCCTGCACACCATTAGTGACAAATTAAAGGAACGCGTTCAAAGTTCGGAAACATGCCCGTTTGCTTTATTATTTTGTGACGCCGGTTGAGTGATACTCCTCCTGTGTTTGTTCGCGGGACATGAAAGTGCAGCTGGGTGACGTTAACTTAGCATCGAGAAATAAAGCGGGGGACAGGGAAAAAAAATATCTTAGGCAGACCTAGATCTGTCAAAAATGTCAACAAAAAAAGTGGGGAGTAGTACCCGCAGATGGGCAAAAAAAAAAAAAAGGAAAAAAAATGTGTCAAGTGTCTTTCTAAAGTGTTTGGTCAGCCTCACTGTAACTTGGCAGACTTTAGAAAAGGCTACTGCAGTGATTCCAAAAGATGATTCCAAAAGAATTGTGTTTTTTTTTTTTTTATCATAGTCATGGAGAGAGTCGTCTAAAATCTGCCTTATGCACGTTCCGGCTCCGCAAAGTAATTGTATTTTACGGCTTTGATTAGTCTGCGGCTTCTTTCTGCACGGGCATAGCGCACCAAAATATACAAACATCCGCTCAGCGCGACAATGAATCATTTGTATCTAACGTGTATACGACTTTATTTTTCTCATATGCCGTTTTTCTAAAATATTGTCCACGTAATTCATTTGTTTTTATTTGCCAGCCGTCTACACGTCTGCATTTTCCAAGCTCAATAATAAAGATGAAATGTCAGGCACATTTCATGCAAATTCGGAGGAAAAGACCATTTCTTGGCATATTCTCTTCACTTTCAGAATCCATTAAAACCTTTTTCGTCAACGCTGAGCTTACCATTTCTTGGCTGCGTAGCTTCAAATTCCCAATGTTTCATATTTTTGTTGCCTCCATAAAAAAGACCAAACCGAACATGAAATTAATCTTACTGACACGTGTTGTTTGTGTAGCCAAAACAGGAAATACTTTGTATGCTCTGTCTTGTGTTGTCCAAAACTTGTAAAAACTCAATGAGACATTTTGCTTCGTGACACAACTACAGGATAGTTTTGTCAGAAACACTATCCAGTGTGCTAAATGTGGGTTATTCTTTGGTCAGACCTCACACTTTATACTCCGGCCTCGATTAAAAATGAATAAATTAAAATAAAAATTAAAAAAAACACGAGGCTGGCAACACGGTAATATAATATGAAACGAACCAGCAAAGGAAGAATTTCTTTCGGCTTCCTGCGATCCACTGCGACGCCGTTGACTTCTTTTAGCTCATCTCCTTCGTGAATCAGGCCTTCAGAGTGGAACGTACGGTACATTTCATGAACTGCAGTCAAGTCCCGTGGAAACCCCCCCACCCCAAGGCACTCTTTGATTAACCGCATGTTTGTACCAGAAAAGAAGACTCAAGAAGTCCAATTAAAAAAGTCGAAGAATTATCATTCATGATACTACAACTTAAAATTGGAGCATTTTCACACGCACTCTTGGTCGCATGTCTGCAAAAGATTATCCTGAGTGATTACTCTTTGGTGTGGGGTGTGTTAAGAGTTGAGTGTCTGTATTCAGTGTCTCCCAAGTCATTCACCGCAAACGAAATGACACCGGGAAGAGTTTGCTAACAACGCGGTCACCAGATAAGCTAGCAGTTAGCCTCGCTTCATCTCCCACTTCTTTGTATATTTTGTTGCAGTCTGGATGCCGGACTTATTTGTACACTGAAAACCAACAACTTGGGAGTCAAAACCAACGGTAAAAAAAACAGATTTGAATTTGGGGACTTCAACACATTCATAAACTTGAAGCGAAGCTTACCGCTCTTGTGGGCAGCGCCTCCTCGCATGACCCTCGCCACCACAATCGCCCCGGTGGATTGATCCCTCTTAATCGTCGCACCCTCAAGGGTGTTGATGTGTGGGGGGAGAAAATACGATGAGTACGAAATTAATTGCATCGTGAAAATATAACGTGTTGCAAGTCTCATTAGAAGTCGCTTCATTCCAATGAAAGATGATTTCTATCGAGGCGGGGACCATTTGCAAGACGCCAACCGCTGCAGAAGGTGATCCAAATCTGCATTATTTTCAATAGACAGTAAAAGTCAAGAGTGGAAAATGCATCTTGTGTACTGGACAACAATCATCCCAGACTGGGGTGGAGTCCCGTTGTGTGGAAAACTGAAACATGTTGGATCAATCAAACCGAGCATGTCAGACAAAGGTCACGCTCTTTCCAGTTGGGTTTTGGGATCTATACAAGCGTCTGTTCCCCATTATTGGGTTGAATCTTCACTCGGAGAGCAAAGAAAATGCCACTCATTAGGTGAATTGCCGCATTCTCCAATTTGCGCTCGACGCCAATCATATTTTTCAGATTAGTAAATAAACTCACTTTGAAGAGGTATCTTTCAAATGAGCGCGGCGAGCATTTTGTTGAAATCTTCCACTTCTCTCAAATCCTCTTAACAGATGTCAAAAACATTTCATGGGGAGTCAGACTATATGATAAGAAACAAATGCTTTACTTTTGATGAGGATCCGTGGGGCTTAAATATGTTGCGGCCATTTGCTAATGAACTACTGGACCCGCTCGTGGAACAAAATCTGGGAAATGTTACTCACAGCAGACAATCACTAGAAGAACTTTATGAAGACCTTGATCGACATTTAAGTCCACCAAATTCAGGTCCTTTTCATTTGAAAGGGGAACAACAAATTTTGAGGACTTTGTGGCCTTGGTGGAGTTGTGTTCTTTGAACTTTCATCCCTGTTCGGTCCGGTCCCACCTGATCCAGGAAATTTCCAGATACAAGTGACAATAGTTTGGACCACGGCGGAATAAGACATTCTGGTAGGACCAAGAAAATTAGTCATGATTAAAGACCGGCCTTGAACGTTAATTCATATCAGACGCAGCACAGGAATGATCTCAGTTAACGTTAATGCTAAGAAACCGTCGAGTGATTTCAACAGCGCTCGCCAGACAAGAATATTCAAACTCGAGTGACTATCAGATGAGATCCATAGGAACAACAATTTTTACGGCGCTACAACATTGCTGAGAGAACATTTGCTTATGTTCACTCGGTGCGGTGTTGTCGGCGTCCCCCCCTGCCCCCCCCCAAGCTTTTTCTGCTTTATGTCGTGACATCGAGCGACTTTTACTTTGTGCCCATTTGACAGCACGACATAATTGCAGCTGCCAACTTTGACCGCTTGAGCTTTACAGTGCCTTCAAATGTCTCGTTGCAGAACATGTGGCACGCTTTGCAGAACAATTATCCGAGTATATGGCTGTGTGAATATAAAAAAAAAAAAAAAAAATGGATGTCTGGTTTGTGTGCAGTGAGTATGCACAATTAGCACAAATTAAGAACATACGTATGCTTTTGGCTGCAGACCACACTTTGAACTTTAATTCTTACGAACCTAAGCAAACACTTCATGATCATAGAAATACTTTTTTGGGTGGGAAATTGTACAGTAAATAGCTACTGACCAGCGGCTCCTTGGTTTTGACCAGACTGACAATCTTCACTGAATCTTCTCCCTCGTCAATAATGCCTTCGGGTACTTGAGGTAGAGTCGGCTCGTAAGCTCTCTGAGCGACTACGTCGTGGACGTACAGAAGACTCTGTCCAAAAAAATAACAAAACCACAACGCAAGGTGGAAGATGATCGTTTGCCTCGCAACATCTAAACAATCTATTTCGAACGTGTAAGCGTGTAAATTAGAATTGGGAAGTGGAGTCAACTTCGAAAAAGGTGACTAAGCCTTATTGACGAATCAGAGGCGCTTGAATGAATGCAAACATTTAAACAGGTTCTCCTGGCCAGTCTGATCGCTGACAGCAAATGAGGACAAACGCGGCACTTTCCGCTCGCAACATGCCAAATGTGATTACGCGACCAGCTCGCGGACCACCTGAAAGAACTCCCGCCCCCGCCGAGTGGGTCCGCTCAAACATCGTGTCTTACGTCACGCGTCGAGCACGGAACAGTTGAATATAAACATTGTATTGCTAATATGTTCTATGAAGTACCATTGCCCAGACACGTACTCAATGTGCCTCGTCAACGGTCCTGGATTTGTTGCAGGAAAACGTTAGGCCGTGCTGGAAGTATTCCCGATGCAAATTTCGACCATTACCATACAGAGAATTTAGATATCTGCCTGTCATCGGGAACAATGACCCAGCACGTCTGTCGGTTGGTGGACTTGTTATCGCGCTGTCCATCGACAGCCTCTCTGCTGAGACCGCCGCTATTACCTGAGATGTCCCTGCGGCTACAATCAAGCCCCCCCAAAAAAACTTTCATTCACGCTATATTGAACCATGGCGTCTCTCCTAAGTACGCTTGCGTACCCGAGCTTCAAGCCAAGAACAAGCAGGTCATTAAGACTGTTCAAACAAACTTGCTAGTTGTCAGTTCACTCATTGGACGATGGTGTGAGTCTGGACACGAGTCTGAGTGGGCCTCCACATCAGTTAACACTAATAAACATGACTGAGAGGTTGGGCTTGATCGAAGGCAGCAACCCCCTCATTCGGAGAAAGAGGGGCAATCAATTTGAACGTATTTGTTATTTCACATGACCCGTAGAAGAGGGGAAACTGTCGGAAAGAAAGTGTTAAAAGCATTTGATTGCACCGGTCGAAGCTCGCGACGTTACACGCTCGCCGTAGCTCGCAGGTCAGAAAGCGGGCCTTCAGGTTACACGACAATGTTTTTGACAACTTCTTCACTGGTTCATAAAACACACTTTGGAGACGGAATCCCCACACAAGGTGCATTTTATTAAAGTCGCCTTCCAAATTAAACAAGCTTAGGGAATGCGTGAACTGAAAACAGAACTGCAGCTGGCGGCGGGCTCGGCCCGGCCACCAGGAGCTCACCAAGGAGCCGGAAGTCCAGGCCAAGCTCCATAGGGGGCCTGCGGTGAACCGGGTTTTTTTTTTTTGGGTCTGTGAACCGTACTTTGTCTTGTCACTCACCTAGAACCTGTTTACCAGGGGAATAAAGCCCCTGGCAATTTAGCTCCGAGGACCAATGTGACACACAAATCCCTCTACTAACGAGGGGATTGAAGCGAATATTTAAAAAAAACCAAAAGAAAAGCAAATATGTGTATGTATATAAGAAGGCTTAACAACTGAGGCCAACTTCATCAAAACTGCACCTTGACGTGAGGTTTACGAAAGAGGGCGAGAAGGTCTTTGACTTCCTCTCTCCACTCATGGTCAATCAGATCTTCATATAGCTGGAAATAGAGAAAACACAGCGCACGCTTGAAAAATGGCAGGTTATATAGATCCTGTATTTAGCTCCAATACCGCAGCCTCGCGCTCAACTCAAGGTGTAATACGGGCGAGGCGGGAACCGGAAGGTTGAGTGAAATTGAGCCCCATTCAGACGACAGCGGCATTGGCGTTCTCGACGGCCCCGTTCAACTCGCTGCAACTCATGTCGGCTATCGTAGGAAAAATAAAAACGAACCGCCGGCGTCTTCAAGGCTACACGACAGCTGCGGCGACAGATAAAAAAGAGCAGCCTTGACCGACAGGCGGCCAGTGTCTGCGCGCAGTCGCCCGCTTGTCAAGCGTGTTACTGTAATGACTTCTACTGCTTCAAGATGTCGAGGCGCACTCTCGAGACGCAAGTATGAAGGTCATTAGTTTCCACTGTGAGCAAACGGGAGCGTCTCTGAGGGGAAACAGGCCCACGCTTTGGCCATTCCAGTAGGTCCTGATGATTTAAGCCAGGCAGAGAGTGGCTGTCGGATGAAATCAGGAGCAATAAGAGTGAGGCAAGGATAGGAGTTGATGGTCAAGATGGAAAAAAAAAATGGCAGGAGTTGCTCTTCGTATGACAGGGTGAAGAGAACGCATGCTGGGAAAGACTACTTTGAGTATTCAGGTCGAACGTGTCGATAAAGTGTACGTAAAGAGGCGGCTAGGAAAGAAGATGATGCGTATCACAGATGGGGTGTGCCACTTTGGGCAAACATGGTGAGTGTGTGTGTGGGCCCTGTCACTTTGACTTAAATGTGAAATTAATTGTGGTCCTCCAAAGTGAAACATTACACAAAATGAGTTTAGCAGCCTGCACATTGTCCTCAGTGACCGAACTCACCGCATCCAGATTAAAAATGACGCCGTATCTGCTTCCAGACACAATTCACAGAGTTTAGGGATACAATTTCCTTTTTAAAAAAAAAAATCCTGCGCTCCATTCATTGCTTCTGCGTGACAGTAAAGCGATCTGTTCGGAGGAGGAAACTATTCAAACCATGACAAATCTTTCCCGATGCCTCTGCAGTCATCCCGTCATCTTTAGGCAGGGTGATTGTCTGCAAAAGATGTTTGGGGAAGAGTCGCTTACATGCGAGGCCAGTCCGGCTGCGCACTCTTGGACGGGAGCGGGTCCTCGTTTCACAAAGTGCCTCAGCCGCTCGTGGATCTGTGGGGAGACATTCAAAGTATGAACAATAAATATATCCCCTGTGCTAAAAATGCATGGAATTGAACGTACTTTTGGAACTGCCACAGGTGCGAGTCAACTACTCAAAGTTCATGACTCAACTTAATACTACTTGAAAAAGCCCATTACTGTAGTCTTTTCCGAGTCTTTATTCAAATTTAATGTAATGGTGATTCATTCATCAATGTTCTTTTTATGAGGGAAATATTGACTCTTCCAGACGCTGGAAGCTGGAAACTGGGTCTGTTTGCCGGAGTTTGAGGATTACACAAGAACACCTCTCCTCATCAGTCTGACATCTGCCCCTGATGCATTGCTCATTGCTCAGTGCTGTGTGTACGTAAGTAAAGATGTATTTGTATTTAATATCACTGCATCAGGTCATACATTGTGTGAGTGTGTGTGTGCGTGTGTGTGTGTATGTGTGTGTGTGTGTGTGTGTCTTTGAAATTTACCAATATCAGGACAAATGAATGCTGCTTTTACTCTTATTTGATATTTAGGACCTGATACGCAACATTTTGGGTCTTTTGAATGGAATGCCATACGTTTACGTGGTGAAAACAAAAAAAAAAAATTGAGAAAAAAAAATCAAGAAAGTAAACAAATGTGCGAGAATCTTTTTAATACAAGTATAAGGTGATGACCTTAAAAAGCAGGTGGAGCTTCTTCTCCATCAACGTGCTGTGGAGGAAGCGGTAGTCCTCCTCTTGGTCACTTTGAGACACAGTGCCAGACATCACTGTTGGAAACGGAAATGTCAGAGTAAAGGCACATTTAAAATGTTAAGATGGAAGAAGTCCCGTGATGAAAACAGAAAATCCCAAATGTAATTCATTGCAAATCAATGATATAGGCGTAGGCTCATGTGGCGTACACCCCGCTCCAATTCCGACATACCCTCTTTATGCTTAAATATTTTTTTCACACTGAAAAGTTAAACAAAAAGAAATCAATGAAAACGCTGATTATTTTTCAACAGTCATTAAATATCCTGACATAAATATCTACTCAACAGTCAACGATAAGATAGGAATGAATATCCCAATTTGTGAGATGTTACTGCCCCCTACTGGTTGTACGATATAGCTCAGCATTTAATACGTTGGAAGGTTCTTGTGTAATGTTACTGTAAATGTCCAAACCAGAGTGAGACGTGTTTTTAAATAAATACTTCAATGAAGTTGTACACAACTGCAAACGCACTCAAAATAATAAACAATTTGTAAATGTCAACCTAGCAGTCTATTTCAATCCAAATGGAGCGGTATTATTTTAGAAAAGGCAGACTTTTGAATTGTACAGTATCTAGTTAGATATATTGCATGTGGTCATATTGCAAGGGCTGGTCTGTGTTCACGCCATTGTAAAGTGAAGCAAAGTCATGAGGAATCACGCTTACCAGTCAGGATGAGGATGCAGATCACACCGTTTTCCACACTCACTCGCACAGAGTTGTGAAGTGTTCTAGCCAGATTGTAGCACAGACTCTTATTCAGTCAATATATGTCAGTGCTGACCTAAATCAATCCAGCAGACAATCAATACACCAATGTGGTGGTGAACATAACAGCCTACACTTGTTCATTTGCCACACTAAAGAAAAACACTTTTAGAAATAGAGCTGAACCGCATCAGACCGGGGATGGAGTTTTTTTCTTAAATCAATTAATTCAGTTAAACTATGATACAGTTGGCTCAAATGTTCAGCTATCCATTTAAAAAAAAGTCATTATGGTCATGGGTGAATCGGAGCCTATCCCAGTTGGATATGGATGATTTTATTTATCTAGTGCCAATCCAGAAGTTATCTCAAAACCATTTACACATGGACCAAGTCAAGAAGCACAATCCTCCTCCATGATACACTGTGGCACACACGTAGAACAAAAACCTCAAAGACCATTGACTCTATGGGGCTATTGTTTGCCTCTTTGCTGACAAGGAAGAGACACGGTAGAGAGACGGAGGACAAATCAACTGTGAGACAGATGTGCTAACCTTGCAGCCTCATAAATTGTAATATATTTAAATATTTTGCTGGTTGATGCATTATGCATCAACTTACATTCACAGGCCGAATACTCTAGTGATGTGTCGTTCGCGAACGAGCCGGCTCTTAGAGCCGGCTCTTTGAAGTGAACGACATGAGCCGGCTCCTAAGAGGGAGCCGCTTTAATGGGAGCCGACTTTTTTTTTCCTC